CATGGGGTTCGATGAGCATCTTGTATAGATATATTCTAATCTTTCACAATATCAAGTATGTTTTCTGTCAACAAATGGTCAACAATTCTCTATTTTCTGTTGTTCCCCCATTCTGGAACTCCAATCACTCGTAGGTTATTTCTCTCGATAGAGTCTAATATAACTCTTAAGAGTTTCTTCATTCTTTTAATTCTTTTATCTGATTTTTCCTCAAATAAATTGGTATCAAGTGCTTTATCTTCAATGTCACTAATTATGACTTCTACTGCCTTAATTCTGCTCCTATGACTATCTATTGTCTAATTCTGAAATTTTATTGTTAATCTTCCGGATTTCTGACTGCTATCTCTCTATGGATTCTTGTAGCCTATTAAATTTGTCATTATGCTCTTGAATAACTTTTTTAAGTTCTGCTACTGCTTTGTCTCTGTGTTCTTTAACTTTCTCTGCATTGTGTCGAATTTCCTTTCTAATTTCTTGAAGAGTTCTGTATATTAATCTTTTGTATTCTGCCTCTGGTAATTCCAAGACATTCTCTTCCTCCAGAGAATTTATTGATTCTTTATTTTGGGAGCGTGCTGAAGCCATCATGCACTGCCTCTTTATTTGATTTGATATTGACAGTTGTCTCCAAGCCATCAATAAGTTATTATAATTTTATTTTATATTGGTTTAGTGTGTCCTAGCTTTGTTTGTTTTGTTTTGATATGCCCTAATAGGCTGCTCATGTGCGCTAGTTTGATTATTGGTGCCTCTGAAGCTCTAACATCCTGTCACCAGGTAGTTACGACTGTAACTAAGTATGTGTGCCTAGGAGTCGGTTAAGTTTTCCTGTATGGATTCAGCTCAGATGTCCAGCAGTCCATCACCAAGTGTGTGGTGCAGGCTGTCGCCTACAGTCTTAGAGAGGCATGGGTGATTGGTGTAGGCACAGGTATCTGGCTGCAGTAGGGGGTCACGCGCTGAGCAAGTCAGGGGGCTCACGGCTGCCCCTGAGTGTCTGAAAGGAAAGCGTGTCCCTGTTCCCTAGAGCAAGCAGGTAGGTGAGTTTTGCAGTTGGACTATGAGCACCCTACTCTGTTGGCTGTAAGGAGTGGGGGGCATCACTTATTCTTGGACCCCTGTAGCAGGTGGCTAGGTGGCATGGGTGGAGCCACCAGTCCTCAAGCCCCTGATGTGGACAGGTAAGGCGCCTGCTTAAAGGGCAGAGCAGTGTCAAGTATCACAAATCCACCACTTCACAGCGAAACAGCTGAAGTTAGACTTCAGGTGTTTACCCTGTTGTACTGTGGTAGTGAGGTCTTACTCTGTTGAGATGGGTCCACGCAAGTCTATACAGGGGTGGAAGGCACTCCAAGTCTGCGTACCCCTTATGCCTGTGCCTAGACAAAGGTGCTGTGCCAACCCTGAGTTCCTGGCTTAGGGGAGCTGGTAGCTTATTTTTTTCCCTATTTGTTAATTTGCTCCCTCTCCAAGGCCAGGAGAATGAGTCAGGGCACCTTATGGTGTCTGCCTCCGGCCCAGGGGACTCAAGAGATTGCTGAAACCGGCTGGACCTGGTGCAGAGCAGGGAGGGAGGAGGTAAATGGGATAGAGGTATTTCCCAAATGTGTGTTTTTTTTTTTAAATCCCTACAAAAGACTACATGCATGTACTTATCTTTAGCCACTTTGGTGCTGCTTTTTCACTGGTTCAGAGTGTCCAAGCGGAATCTCTGCTGCTGGATCTCTCTTGATGTGGAAACTGTCTCCCAAGCGAGTGAGCGGAGTTGTATGCCCCCTTCTCTGCACAACCCGAGCTGATATGGGCTGACGGGCTGTGGCTTCCGCCAGGTCAGGTCAGGCAAGGCAACTCCTTTCTGTTTCCGAACCGTATCTCTCTCCCCCCACCAGTCAGTCCGATTCCTCAACTTTGCCTTGTTCTGGGCTCCTAGATATTCATATACAATCAAATCACTTGTTTTTTCAGGTATTTGTTGTAAGAGGGACATAGGAAGCCATATGACTACTCTGCCATCTTGGCTCCACCTCGGAAAGAAAATATTTTTAAAGTTTATATTAGAAAAGAATAAATATTTAAAATGGATCATCTAAGTTTGTACCTTAAGAACAAATTAAACCCAAAGTAAGCAGAAAGAACAAAATAACAGCAGAAATTAATGGAATAACATAGACAAACAATAGAGAAAAATAATAAAGCCAAAAGTTGGTTCTCTGAAAAGGTTAATAAAATTGACAAACTCCTAGTAAGACTGATCAAGGAAAAACGAGAAAAGATATAAATTATCAATATCAGAACTAAATAAGGGGGCATATAACTACAGATCTTACAGACACTGGTTACAACTGGAGTATTATGAACAAATTTATGCCAATAAATTCAACAACTAAGATAATATGGAAAAATTCCTTGAAAAACACAACTTACCAAAACAAAATATGAAATAGAAAATTTGAATAGCCCTCTCATCTATTAAAGAAAGTAAATTTGTTATCAAAAATCTTCCTATAAATTCCAGACCCAATGGTTCAACTGGTTAATTGTATCAAATGTAATGAGGAAAAAACACCAATCTTACACACACTCTTTCCAAAATGGAGAAGAAATACTGTACAACCCATTCTATGAGGTCAGCATAACCCTGATACCAAGTTTTGGGCTAGTTTGACCTTTAGGCTGCTTTAGGTTTGCTCCCTTAACTAACACAGTCTGTGCCTCTGGTTTCTCTAGCAAAAGGGAAAGCTTTCTATGACTACTTTTTGCCAACTTTCCTCTTCCAGCGTGAGGGAATCATTACACTATTGACAGTGATTTTAACTATCAATTTCTCAGCATCCCTGGGTAGTGTAAATGATTTAACTGAAAGGTTAGAGGTTCCAGACAACCCAAAGATGACTCAGAAAAAAAGTCCTGGTGATCTACTTCCAAAAAAATCAACTGCTGAAAACCCTATGAAGCACAGTTCTACTCTGAAACACACAGGGTCACCACGAGTTGGAACTGACTCGACAACAACTGGTTAACTGGTATCAATTTCTCAGATATTTTGTTCTCAAGTCAAGCCTTCCCTAGCTTGAAAGAACTCCAAACTTCTTTTTTAAACACTCATGAGGTAGCAGCCAATTTCTTATTACCAGTAGCTATGAAGACCCCATATGACTCCAACCAATCCTGAAAGATTTTCCTATCATCTAAGGCTCTAAAAAAAACCAAACCAACCAACCCACTGCAGTCAAGTCAATTCCGACTCACTATAGTGACCCTATGGTCAGACAAATTGAGTTTAATCTCACCTTAAATAATTTACTTACATTTGTTACATTGGGAAAGTTATTTAATTTCTCAAAGCTTCTATTTCTTTTTCTGTAAAATGGGGATAACAGAGGCACCTGAAAAGCAGTCTTGCTCATAAAGCACTTAGCACAGTATCTGCCACACAAGTGCACAACAGCTAGTATCACTACCCCTAGGTTTTTGCTTTGATTTTCCTTTTAAGAAACCTCCAGGTTCTTCTCCTTAGTATTTGAATTAAATATGCAAACCATGCCACAGTTATTTAACTACCAGTATGCTGGAGTCCCTCTCTTGATGCCTGCAAAAATGACAATTTTAAGTGCAAATATAGAAAATATGGGGAAAGAGGAAAAGGGAGGAAGAAAGAGGGAGAGAGGAAGGTAGAAGGGAGGGAGGGAGGGAGCGCACTACTTTTAGTTTAACAGTAACAGTGTTTCACACATAAAAAAGTCATAACTAAATAAAAATTTAAAAACAAATTAACCTTGTAACATGGAATGAATATAATTTGTAAAATTATTCACCACAATATTTCTTAATAAAATATGAAAGGAAGGGCAGATTGTAAATGATTTATTAAAATTCAATTTACAGGGAACTTTTCTGAAACATCTATTCTATGAAGATAGGTATAACCATACCAACCACTGTTTCTAGAAATATCTTCCAATCAACTTAGACCTAAGAGGTCTGTATCATTAACATGATACTTTCCTTTCTACAAACTTAACATTGGCAGTCGGCCTGCTGCTTGGTATGGGGGGGCACAAATCAATTCCAAAGAAACAGATAAAGAAGACCCTTTAACAACAGAAGGAAGAGTAGTTGTCTTCTTGTTTTCCTTGTCCGGTATACTCATCACCTCTCTATCCTGACAGGTAAATAAACCCACTAACATTAAGTTGTAGGTGCTGCTCAGGAAAAGGAAGGAACAGAACATTCTGAGGAAATATAACCTAACCAAGGTAAACACAGCTAGCTGCACACACATCACTCAGCTTTTGGAGAAGGCCCTGCTAATTAGCAGCAACGGGGAGGAATTGGAGCCCCTTCACAGTCCCCAAAGAAGGAGTCTGGACTAGAATCCCACAGGAAGTCATAAGCTCAGGATCAGAGGGATGAGTGCTTACAGCAGTGGACACTGACTTTACAGAGATTACCTGGTGTTCCAAGAATCTACTACACGTATTCTACGCACTTTTACTTTACAGATGACCTAGCCCAACACACAGGCAACCACTTCTATTCCTACATTTTGTGGTTGCTGGAAAGAGTTAAATAAATCACATCACTGTCCATAATTTAAAAAAAAAAAAAAAAAGTATATTATCTGATCTTAATTTTCATCATGGCTTTGTAAAATAAAGCAATGGAAATACAATATAAAATTAATGATGTAAAAATTCTTCAATCTGTACCTTTAAGATTTATGCATTTTACCAGATGTAAAGTATATGTCAATGAAGGAAAATAAAAAGAAAATTGATGAAAAATATGAAAAAACTCAATTTTATAGTATGGCTCTTAATCATGCATTTTTTCCAAGGACATGAATCATTATTACTTCTTCCAGTTTTTGTATTTAATTCTAAAGTGTCTCTTATATAACATGAAAGACTTAACGATTCTTCTACAACTCTAATAAAATAAAAATAGGTTGGGCCACTTTAACGCAAGCAGACAATCTCCTCTGGTGTAGAACTTACCACAGGTAGTGTGAGCCAGGTTGCCACAAGGCGGTTGTTGATCCAGCGATACCAAGATGGGTTTAGAAACATCAAAGGTAAAAAGGGACCCAGCATGAAAACGCTTCCAAAAAAGCTTCCCCAAAACAGAGTGAGTATAAAGTAAATCCCTTTCCATGACACCATGATTCTAAAAGATAAAAAAAAGGAAATATTTTGTTATTATATATTTAACTTTTTAAATTCAATTTCAGAATGATGCATATAATATTTTTTAAGAGTTGGAGGGTGGGGAGAAAAACCTGAGGGTCAGAGGATAAAATAAAAGGAGAAGGGAATTATCACTAGATGTATATAAATAGATGGATGATGGCCAGGTATAGTGCTATATGCTTTTCATTCATTATATCATTTAAGGCGACAACCTTATGAATTAGATATTAGTAGCCCCAGGTTAGAGATGAGGAAACAACGCTTGATGTCTGTGACTTCCCCAAGGCAAGAAAGCTACGTAAGCAGAAGGAATGGGTTTTTCAACTCAGGACTGTCCATGTTTTAAGTATGAGGCAACACAGTTAAGTGCAATGTTTCCCAAACTTACACAACTGTAAGAATCGCTTGGCATTCTTCTTAATATATTCCTAGCCCATTCCCAGAAGCATCTGTTCAGTTGATCTAGAGAAGGGCAATCTACACATTTAATGAATTTTTCAGATGAGTCTTATGTCAAATGAGTTTGGGAAAACACAGGTATGCATAAGCGGACCAAGAGATCAGAAGGTAGAGGCAATCGTTCTCGTTTTTGCCCTGTCGTTAACAGCTGTGAACACTGGACAACTCCTTTAATTGGCATGGCTGTATTTCAATACATCTTTATGTATAAAAACACGGTGTGCCAGATTTGGCCTGCTAGCTGCAGTCTGCCAATCCCATTCTAAGTTGTTGCAGAAAGAATTATCTAGATTATCTAGATCAGGTTAACTAGCACCTTCCTATCAATCGAGATATGTTTATGAGACTATATACCATTGTCATCAAGTCGATTCTGACTCATACTGACACTATAGGACAGAGTAGAACTGCAGCGACCTTTTGGTTAGCAGCCACTATGGTTATGTTTTATGTTTTGGTTAGCACTTAACCACTATGCCACCAGGGTTTCCATGAGACTATATAACTGCTCATATTTGCAGTTATATAACTTAAGTCATGTTCAAGGTATCTTGATAGCTCATTTTCAGGTTGTAGAGTCCACATTTCACAACCTCTAGTTTAACTTCCCCTATCTTCACAGGAATCATTCATGCTCTCTAGCCTCAGATGAGCCTTCAAGATTTACCTACAATTCTTCTAATCTCAAATTCTCACGTCCTTCACAGCAGTTTGTCTAAACCTTTTTACTAAATTTATAAAATTTATAAATTTATAAAATTATAAAATTTATATCAAAGCCAAAGCATTTGGAAAGGAAAGATTGGAAGCAGCAAGGAAGACGGCTTGAGGGATGTTTCTGGTACTGGTAGGCAGCATAACGTGGCATGGTCTACCAGCCCTACAACTTACTAGCTAGACATTTCAATGAGTTTCTATAAGTAGTGTTTACACAGTACCTGGCATATAGTAAGCACTAAAGCACCAAATACTAATAAATGTGATTCTTATTCTTATTAATCTATCTAAAATTAAGAGGAATTTAATCATGTTTTAGGTGAAAGAGAAACTAGTCGAGAATGAAAGCTTGCGGATGTCTAAAAGCAATGGAATAAATGACCAACAAAAATGGGCAGAGGGCAGTTTTTAAGAAAAATTGAAGGCAATCAGTAATTAAGACTGGCTCTGAGCAGCAGATCGGAAGCATTCTAAGAGATAGGTTAGAAGAGCATAAAGCTGGATTGGGTATAAAATGTCAGAAAGGGGTAGAGGGTTGGTAAAGAGAGTAATACAACCCGACAGCCTCACTTTTTTGCTTCAGGAGGAGGTAAGCTCATCAGCTTTACTCTCCTGATTCTCCAAGAGGACAGGGCTAGTCAGTACGTCCTGCTTCCCTCTAAATACTGTGCACACAGGAGATACCTAATAAACATTTACTGCATTGAATACATATAGACGTTTTCTGAACTGTACATTTGCTATCACACAGATCTTATCACCGATGTATCTTTGTGTATCATCAAAGGTAGAAATGTAGGGCTTCACACTCGGCAGATGGAAAAAACTACAGAATTCATGGATTTTGTTTGTTTGTTTGTTTCCCTCCTAGGAAGTGCTACTCCTTTGGAACGTCAACAGAGATAAAACAAAAGGACTACAGAAAAGGCTATGATGAGAGTGAACATCAGAGAGGTGACCTCTGTCTAACAAGTTGCCAGAACATAAGACATTTAGACTCTCAATGCAGCAGACGCCTGACCTCCAAAAAAAAGTTGTGTAGTCTAAGAAAAGTCTGTGTTTTATATAGTTACTAGTATTTAACATAAAACTGGATATTTTCTTTTCCAGGATGTTATCTGACACAAAATCTTATTAAAATATTCCAGAGTTTTTTATACTCAAAAGTAGATTTAATGGACTAAGGACTGCAGAACATCTTCCTAAGAGTGACTATGCCTAAAAGCCACGACAATTTAACAGAGTGCACTGAAATTTAAAAAAAAAAAAAAAAAAAAATTAGAAATGTTAAATCTTTACATTAGAATCTAAAAATAACATCTTTGGGCACTTAAACTGGCTCTTTATGAGCTGAAAGGTTAAGCTGAAGTCAGACTCTGAAGTCTCTTTACTATTTGCCAGAGGACTCCTTTAGGAAGTTCTCATAACCAGAAGACATACTGTTGATATTTTAAAATAAACTCTTGGAAGCACAATCTAAAATGAATAATCAAATATTTGATTTTACAACCTAGGCTGTATTAGAGTACAAAATATATTTTGCCTCACGATAATAAAACTGTTGGAAACATTAAACAAAACTATGAAAACAACAATGGTCTTAAAATTGTATATATTAAAAAGGTATTCTAGCAATTAAAACCTCTCACTATTTCAAAAGTATCGTGACAGGAAACAAAATTTCAAATGTCATGGTGCTTTTTAAAATAAGTGTCAGATAACAAAACAGGTCAAATCCCTTAACAACAGAATCTAGTTTATCTGGGCACTGAATATATTTTAAATCTCTACCAACACTTGACACTCGGTATGTGTACAAAATTTTTCAGAGTACAAACAGAACAAATATCTGCTGAGAACTGACTTTTGCCAAACTTTCCACCTGAACTTAGCTATCTGCCATGAGCCACTCACTCTAGGCTTAGACGCTCACCCCTAAACTCCCCGCAGAGTTACACATAACACTATGTCCGTACACGACTGTCCACCCCCGTCGAGGCTCTGCACTGCTTCTTCCTCACTTACCAAACTATTTATAATTTCATATAATTAAAAGAAAAATAAATGATAGTTCAAGGAGCTTAGAACCAAACCAAACTTGTTGCTGTCAGGTTGATTCCAACTCATGGCAACCCCATGTGTTACAGAGCATAACTGCTCCATAGGGTTTTCTTGGGAGATCTCCAGGCCTTTCTTCCACAGGGCTGCTGCGTGTGTTCAAACTGCCAACCTTTAGGTTAGCAGTTGAACACAACCCTTTGTACTATCCAGGGACAGGAGCCTGGAGATCATCAAATAAAATATTTTTATAAACAAACACACACACACACACACACACACACACACACACTAAAAGGATGGGGCTATGACATTAAGAAATGTCACAATTATAAGCCAAATTTTTAATACCTCATATAAAAATTATTCTGAATTTTAGAAGTTCACAGGAACTTAGTTCCAGTGAAGAGACCTAATGTCTTTCTTAATATTCCCTAGTGCCTAGCATAACACACAGCGTTTGATAAACACTCAAAAAAAACAAGTCTGTTACCTGAAGTCCAAATGAAGGATATTAAAAAAAAAAAAAAACTGGGGGAGGGGGGGTTGTCGGCTTCCACTGGAAGAAAGTCTGGTTAAAAAACTGGTAATTAAACATTTAATCTTTTAAAGTCCTTTTAAATAAAAACTAAAAGCCTTAACATTGAAAAGTAGTTACAAGTGATGCAATTAAATACCATTTTTGTGCATTCTTTGTACAATACTGACAGTTTTCCCAAAACAATAAAAAAAAGCCAAATGAGAAAGATATAAACACAGTTTTAAAATGGTATGTCCACTTTACTGCCAAATACAGAGATATAGAACAAAACCGTAAGTCATCTTGAAAAACTGAACCAACTTCAGTATAACCCAAAAACTTTTTCCTATAAAATCACTTCCGTTTTAGTGAGTTAATACAGTATTCTCTCACCTCACCAATTTCCTAGTTTATAATGTAAACCTGATTCTGATAATTGTCCATGCTGCCTAACCACCTGTGGTTAAAAAGTTTGCAATACCAAACAAAAGGCAAAACACAGCCCACCTAAACGCCTTACTCAGTTCCATATATTATTCCTGGAGTATAATAACTTTGGCAAATACTCCCTGACAAGTATGAATGTAACCCATTAGGGATACCTATCCCCAATAGGTTACATTCAGGAAGGAAACTTATTTTAGTTCATAGAATCTCCTTAATTATTTTATTCACATAACAATTTAAATGTTAACAACTCAGACTGCTCTCAGTCTAATAGTGAAGCTAAGCTGGCAAACAAATACCTGCAAGTCAATGTAATACATGCTGTAACAGAAGTGTAACAGAGGTATGCTAGTGTTAAAGGTAGATCAAAGTAGGGTAAAACCCACTCTGTGAAAATGGATTAAAGAAGACATTAGACTCTTTGAGGTGAGTGGGTTGAGGGGAGAGAGAAGGTCATTCCAGGCAGCGGCCCCAAACATGCAAAGTCACAGGACTTTGAAACAGCATGGCTTAATCAGGGAACTGTAGCTTATTAGATATTACAAGGTAGGGGCTACATGTCGGGGAGCTTCAAGAAACCACAAGGGCACAGGCCCTAGGGAGAAAGAGAACAAAACCAAGTGAGAATAGCCAAAACCACCACCTTTGTCATACCGTCACCACAGGTGGAAAAAAACCTAGGGTATATGAATCATGTTTTAGGATAAATGTTAAAGTGATATGGTGCAGATAAGCATGGATTTATCAGTACACTTTGAGTTTGTTAAGAGCCTTAC